GCTGTGAGGGTGTCCCACACTGACACCACACCGTCTGTGTCCCCACTCAGAAGATATCGGCCAGATCTATTTCAGACACACAAATATCTACATAAGCAAAACATAAATGGGTCTAAATACTATGCTGTCGTTTTTAGTAAAACTGTGTATCTTTATCTCACTGGTCCAGGTCAAAGTAGATCCGCTGGTTTGTACTGACGTTCCTGTGCATGGAGAACAGAACTTGTCCCGGGTCTCTGAGGTCCCAGCACAGGATCTCCGAGTCCTGAAAGCAGTGACGCATAACATTAGCTGGAGAATTCAAAACATGCAACAAATAACAGTGTTTCTAATTGGTGGATATATCTGTCATATTGAATTTGGCAAAGTAAACCTGTGAGGCACAGAAGACCACTGACCTTGCGACCACCCGTGTACATGTGATAGCCGTTGGGTGAGAACAGCAGGTGTGTAAGGCCTCCGTGGTGTCGTGCGGGCAGCAGAGCCAGCAGAGAACCGTCCTCACAGGAGTAAAGGCCGGCCGAATGAGAATACGACCCACAGGCGTACATGGAATGACAAGAACTGAAGGCAATACAGGAGATAATGCCTGTCTGACCCTGTTTCTTGACTTAAAAGAAGAATGAGGTATAAAATGAGAGGAAGAAAAACAGGAACAAAAGTTAATTGTAAGTAGTTTGGTTTCATATTAGAAATCCATGAAGAGTCACTGAATAATGAGAAACTACAGAGCCAAGTGTCCAGACGAGGAAGAAGCTGATTTTATCAAGTCAAACTATGCAACTTTTCACATTAATATAGAATTCAATTGATGTGCGATCACAGGTGTACACTGCTGTTCAAAAGTTTGGAGAAAAGATTCTTTAATGTTTTTGAAAAGTCTCTTATGTTCACCAAGCCAGCATTTATTTGATGATAAAAAAACAACTATTATTAACTAAATATTATTACAATTTAAAATATTTTTTTTCTATTTTAATATATTTCAAAATGTAATTTATTCCTGTGATGCAAAGCTGAA